TGTGTTGCTTGTGGGTGATGTCAGTTCTCAGTCTTAAGAAAATTGTGATGCTAGCTTGTTGATTTATGTGTGGCTTATAAAATGCCTATATAGGACATTATAAAAGTGTGTGTGTAAAGTTTTATGATTAAATGTTTATAAAGGAACTGCAAATTGAAAACATTTGAAGAATTTGAAAAATAGTAATCAGGAGGAAAAAAGGCCGAGATTAACATATGTTACAATTTTGGTTACTTTCTTCCATCTTTTTTTCCAGTGTATATAAATAATGATACTTATTTCCAGCAGATTCTGAAAAACTAGCCTGTAAATCATTCCTGTTGTAGAAAGAGAAATAGGAAAAGTTGTTTGCAGGTTGTCTTCTGTATAGTCTGCTAGATGTGTGAGAGCTCTAGGAGATAATTCCATCTTTCAATCTAGGGAAGGCTAGGTTTATATGATGTTAGAAGCAAGTTACTCCTGGGGAAATCAGCCCTTTAGATCTAAGATTACAAGCTACTCTTGGGAAAATCACTTGGGGGGGTGTGCACGAGCATGTATGTTTGCATGCTATACATGTGTGCATGCTGTGGAGGTGAGTGTAAGACTTCGGGACTGATTTGGGTTGGGATTCCCTTTCAAGGCACCATTGCTGAAGAAGCCTACTGTGCGGTACCTGCAGTAGATAGACTACTTGTAGCTGGGGGATGATGAGAGGAGAAGGAAGTAGAGTTCCAGGGTAGATTTAGACAGGCCTTCTGGTCTGTGGAATAATGGTAATTTTGTTGTATAAGCTCACTGTAGGATACAGATTCTGAATTTGGTGTTAACCTTTTTTCCCTTTTCTTTCTTCCGTCCTTCCTCCTTTCCTTTTCCTGCTGCAGGTATCAAACTGACACTGTCAGCTCTGCTGGATGGCAAGAATGTCAATGCTGGTGGCCACAAGCTTGGTCTAGGACTGGAATTTCAAGCATAAATGAATACTGTACAATCATTAATTTTAAACTATTTTGCAGCATAGCTACCTTCAGAATTTAGTGTACCTTTTAATGTTGTATGTCTGGGATGCAAGAATTGCTAAAAATCATGTTAGACCTCCAGGTGAAAGAGGATTCAGCTTTAAAGTGTTACCATTTCAGAGGTACAGAAGAAATCGAGTCCAAAAAAAGGTCCTTTCAGCTGTAGACTTGTGTGTGTGTGTGAGGGACTTGGTGACCCCTCTAGAGATGCCAGGTTTACTTTTTTTTTTTTAATCTAGAAATGGCTGCAAATGGAAGCTGATAATGTATAGGCACTTTGTAAATCTGTATTGAGTAAATGAATGGAATTGTGACTTCCCGAAAATCAAACCTTGGTTTCCTAACCCTAATTGATGAGGAGCTCATTGCTTGGTGGTGTGTACAAACTCATCTGAAAGGGACTTTTTTAGACAGACCTTCATAACCTTTTTCCACTCTAGCCCATCGTCACCTCTTTTACACCAAAAGTAGTCTGCAGGGTGTGGTCACTGTTTCTTTTTCGTGCCATTTTGGAGTGGAGAGGGTGGACGTGATGAAGCCAATAATTCAGGATTTAATTCCTTTTTGTGTTGTGGTTTTCTTGCCCTTGCACCAGTGTCTGAAATAGCTTCCAGGAGCTCCAGCTATAGGCTGGGAAGAGTCTGCGTGATTGTAATCACACAGTGACAACACTAGGAATCTAAATTGGACTTCTGCTGTATTCTCACCACTCAATTTATTTTTTAGCAGTTTAATGGGTACATTTTAGAGTCTTCCATTTTGTGTGGAATTAGATCCTCCCCTTCAAATGCTGTAATTAACAACACTTAAAATAAAACTTGAATAAAATATTGAAACCTCCTCCTCCTCCTCCTATTGTCCTTATTAACAAAAATGTATATGAGGGGCTGGGGATGTGGCTCAAGCGGTAGCACGCTCGCCTGGCATGCGTGCGGCCCGGGTTCAATCCTCAGCACCACATATAAATATGTTGTGTCTGCCGAAAAACTAAAAAATAAATATTAAAAAAATTCTCTATCTAAAAAATATATATATATATATATATATATATATATATATATATATGAGAAGAGGGCACTTGTTTAGATTTGTTCTTTGTCCCCTTGCTCTGTACTGTGTGTGTGTGTGTTTTATTAGTTTTCTCTTGCTATATAACTATGGACTTAACAGCTTAAAAGAACACTCATTTCCGTCACAGTCTGCAGATCAGAAGAACCGTGGCACACCTACCTGGGCTCTCTGCTCAGGTTCTCACAGTGTTAACCAGGCTATGTTCTCATCCCAGCAAGAGGCTTGTGGTCCTTCTAGACCTACATAGATGTGGTAGATTCAGTTATTTTTGCTTGTAGGATAGAGGTCTGAATTTCCTTGATGGCTGTCAGCTTGGGTTCACCCTCAGTACTTAGAGGTTACCAGCATATCTTACCACATGGTCCCCTTCATCTCCAATGCCAGGAAAACAAAACAAAACAAAACAAAAACTTTCATGTCATATTCATCTTACACTCTTCCAGGAGATCCCCATCCCTTTCAAGGTCTTAGTGGATTAGTTTAGACCCACTGAGAGTAATGTTTTCATAAATTTAACTGTGGGGTAAAGTAACCTAAGCATAGATAAAAATACCATCATATCCACAGATTTTTCCCTGTTGGTCATGGAGGCACTCATTTTGGAATTTTTCCATATATTTGTGTGTGTGTGTGTGTGTGTGTGTGTGTATAACTTTATTATGATGGGTAACTCACACAAAAAAGTGTAATGAACTATCCAACTTCAGCAAATACAAACATTTTCCCCACTGATTGTTTTTTTAGGCAGACTTTTTTTTTGTTGTTTAATAGTGACATTCAAAACAGGTATCAGATTTATTTTTAGCATTTTGTGTAACTGATTACCCAGAACTGTGGGCCTTAGTGTTTGTCATACTATCTTCATCAGGTTTACAAGGACTTGCAACTTGTTTCTAAGTAAATGTTTAGAATTTTTCCAGAGATTCTGGTAAACAGGTTGCTGAGTGTATCCGGACAGGTGCCAAGTATAGTATTAAATATTTTGAAGTGTATAACTGCCCTCAATATGAGGGAACATTTTGCTCACCAATTACTTAATAAGTGTCTGCCTATTTTGTATGCTGTGCATTGGAATATCCTATGCAAAAATGAAAATGTCTTGAGTATATAATATTAGTTAAGAGAACTGGAAACAATCTGTTATGAAGACAAATGAACAAAGTGGACAAAGGTTCAGAGAAGAGGATTGAGGTGTGTTTATTACAGGAAAAAATCCTATTTAAGTCTAAAGCAATTTCCAAACAAGCAAGAGCTAGGATTGAGAGGTTTAATTGTTAAACTGAGTGTTTTCTTAAAAAAAAAAAAAAAAAAAAAACACAAAACAACAAAAACTTCATTTATTTATTTTTGCAGTACTGGGGTTTCCATTCAGGGGCTTGAGCATGCTAGACAAGAGATCTACTATTGAGTTACACCCCAGCCCCCCCCCCCCCCCCACACTGTTTTTTTTGGTACTGGGGACTGAACTCAGGGGCACTCAACTAGGAGCCACATCCCTAGTCCTATTGTGCATTTTATTTAGAGACAGTGTCTCACTAAGTTGCTGAGGCTGGCTTTGAACTTCAATCCTCCTGTCTCAGCCTCCTTAGCCGCTGGGATTACAGGGGTAGGTCACCATACCCAGCACCCTTGGCCCTTTTTATCTTTTGTGTCAGTAGTACTAGGGCGTGGAACCCAGGGCCTTGTACAGGCTAGGTAAATGCAGTATATAGAGCTCATCCCTAGCCTGAGGGGTGTTTTCTGTACTCACAGGAGTGAAAGCTTCTGGGCGCTGTGGGGGTGGGGGGACTGTGTGCTTTGGCTAACTTGGAAGTTTTGTAATGAGGGCACCATTCCGTCTATATGGGCTTGTGGTGGACTTTGGAAAATAAGCAGATGAATGGCTTCTCAGTTTTCTTAACACAGACTTAAGTGTTTCTGAGCTGTCTGGAGCCAGATAAATGCTATGGGAAAAACAGATTCAGAACACAGGCCCTTCTCTACTCTGTAGAGGCAGTTCAGCTGTCTCTGGGGACAGCAGCAATCTTCTGAGGGAGTCACAGACAGTGGTGAAACTGTGGACACAATAAATGTCTTTATGCCATGCTAACTTTCGTGACAATTAATCAAATGGGACCTTTATAAATTGAAGCCTATAGCTGTTTATTAAGGAAATATTCACAGAAGGAACACACAGACCAACGCATTATGCCAAGGCCCAAGTGAACTTCCTGGAAGTTTCTAAATTTGCATTTTCATATACTGGGGGTTTTGTATTTTAACTTACAAAATTTAAAAAGTAACAAAAGTGTATTTTAGGAAATCTGGAAGCTCTTCATAATGGTGACCCCCGCAGCCCTACTTCTAGCTACCTTCCCTGTTTCTTCTTTACCTTCTTATGCTTCCCGCTGTTGTCTCCCTCCCAATAAACTTTACAAAGGCTTTGTGGTTCATTTTGTTTTCTGCTGTACCCTGAAATATGGGGAAGTGCTAAATATTTGTTGAAATAATAAATGATTGTGGGATTGATAATAATATGGAGAAGTGCTAAATATTTGTCGAAATAATAATTGATTGTGGGAACGATAATAATAATATTTACCACCCAGATATGACCACTATTACTATTCTCGTTTTCATTGCCTTTGGGAGGTGGGGGAGTTCACTTTTATGATCAGTCTACTTGAAACAGCTACATTTTTCTTGAAAAAATGTTTTAAACTCTCTTATTGGAAGCATGGTACCCCGACAAACGGAAGGCAGCGAGGGGCTTGCCTGGCCCTCTTTAGCACCTTCCTCACCACATTCGTAACACGCGCGGGAGCGCAGAGCTATGCCCAAGAGGCAATTCCCACCACCTTTCCTCCTTATTCCTGTTTCCAGATGCTACGTCATCGCGCTGGGACGTAGATGCCTAGGACCGCGCTGCCTTACGCAAGGTCTGACGTCATGACGTAAGCCTAGCAACAGCGCAGGCTCCCGGCCAAGACCTTTATGGCCGCAGCTGCCTTGCGGAGGATGAGGAGGGCCTCGCAAGCGAAACTGCTTCCCGGGCCCGGCATTCAGACCCCCGGAGGGCTGGCGTGGACACTGGTCCTCGTGCTCCTGCTGGCGTCCGCCATGTCCACTGGTAAACGGGGCGTGACGGCAGGGCGGGTGAGGGAAGGAGGTGAGGGCCTGGGCGCGGGTCTGGAGACAGACTGGGCCAGGGGAAAGGACTTCCAAGTGTCCAGAGCAGACGGTGTCTAGTTGAGGCAGAGTCTGCCCAGCGTAGAAGGGGGCACATGGTGGGGTCCAAGACGGTGGAGTCTTCCAGGGCCTCAGAAGTGCGGCTGAGAAATGCAGACGCCCGGGAGCTGGGAGAAGAGTGTAGATGGGCGGGGAGCGGGGGAGTGGTGGTGTGGTTCACAATCTTGAAGAACGGACTGTCACAAGGAGTGGCGACTGTCGGGTTTCCACAGTTCTTTGGAATGGGGAGTTGGGTCTCGAAAGGGGCTCGGGGTTGCGGGGTGTGGTGTCTATGGAGGGTCCCAAAGTGTGTGTGTGTGTAGGAGGGCGGGGCGGGGACGTAGCAGGGTCCTGGAAGGAAAATCTTCCCCCCCCCCCTCCCATGAGTGATCAGTGACCCAGTGACTGGACGAACTGAACTAGTGAATGAATGAATGAATTAGAGAGAGAGAGAGAGAGAGAGAGAGAGAGAGAGAAAAGAGAGAGAGAGAGAAAGAGAGAGAGAGAGAAGAGAGAGAGAGAGAGAAAAGAAAGAAAAAAGAAAAAAGGTTGGGAACCAGGCTCAGGAGGCTGATGCAGGAGGATCACAAGTTCAAAGGCAGCCTTAGCAAAAGCGAGGCACTAAGCAACTCATAAAATACAAAATAGGGCTGGGGATGTGGCTCAGTCCTTGAGTTCAATCCCCAGTACCAAAAAAAAAAAAAAAAAAAAAAAGATAAAAAATTATCTGTAAACTGTGGTCCCCTTCTCTGTATCTTGGGTTATCCAGGACAACACTGCCTCAATTTAATGGATTTGAGAGAGAAAGGATTTCTTCTTTGCAGACGTTACCTTGTAGATAAGATTGAGACTTAGTGGGGAAAAATCCACTAGTAAGAATTTAGAATGATTTAGCAGTATCTTGTTCAGTAGTCTCGATTTTCTTTCAGTCCAAGACACAGTCCTTTTCTTCCAAAGTCTTTTTTTTTTTTTTTTGAGTTTTCAGATGAAAAATAGTGTGAAAAAATGTTTTAAACCCTCTTATTGGAAGCATGGTACCCCGCCATGTGGGAGGCAGCAAGGGGCTTGCCCTGGCCCTCTTGAGCACCTTGTTAGAGGAAGTTATGCCAGTGGGGGGCGCCCTTAAAGAGAACTGTGGAACTCCTATCTTTTTTTCCTCTCTCTCTTTCCCTTCCCTGACATGAGGTAAATGGGCCTCCTCCACCACACCCCCTCCATGATGCTGTATAGATTTATTCCTTTGCCAATCGTGAACATCCAGCCATACATTTTACTACAGTGCTTTGGGTACATATTTCCTCAAAAACACTGAAGGTAGTACAATACATTGCCTTCCCAGAGTTGTTTGCAAGTCTGAGGGGAAGGACTGTGGTCATTGTGATCCATTTTCCCAAGGCCCTTTCATCATTAGTAAAATGTAAGGAGGATTTCCCTGGTTAATGTTGGTATTTCTGTTCCTAAAGTATTTGAGTAGCATAATTGTTTGGATCATTTGATTATCTTAGAACAAAATGACATTTAAATATCTGTATTTCCAGCTGGAATGATTAAGAAGTCTGTATAGCAAGGAAGTAGTTACAGAAATAGATTTTTTGGTTGAAAATCTTGTGTTGGGGGAGAGGGGCAAATGAGGGGGACTGTGAAGTATTAAGGTGTCCTTTTGTCTCTGTTTTTATTTCTTAGAGTACTTAAATATTGCTGTAACCATATTAAAGATTTTAGGGAATCTTTATCTTTTTTTTTTTTTAAAGAGAGAGGAGAGAGAGAGAGAGAGAGAGAGAATTTTTTAATATTTATTTTTCAGTTTTCAGTGGACACAACATCTTTGTTTGTATGTGGTTCTGAGGATCAAACCCAATGCCTCGCGCATGCCAGGCGAGCGCGTTACCGCTTGAGCCACTTTTTTTTTTTTTTTTTTAAAGAGAGAGTGAGAGAGAGAGAGAAAGAGAGCATTTTTAATATTTATTTTTCAGTTTTCGGCAGACACAACATCTTTGTTTGTATGTGGTGCTGAGGATCGAACCCGGGCTGCACGCATGCCAGGCAAGCGCGCTACCGCTGGAGCCACATCCCCAGCCCCGGAATCTTTATCTTTTAAAATTGTCTTTATTTATACCTATTTTGAATGTTATAAATTCAGATTATTTCCTACTGAAAATAACTTTAATGAAAATGAACATATATGTTTTTTTATAGAAGCTCCATTGCAGTAGTGTAGCATTTATAAAGTTTGGGGTAATGTAAGTATTTTTTTGCAAGCATGCCTTATGTGGAATAATGTCAATGTAATCACTCTTATAATAAAAAAATTTAAATCTAGAATGTGTTGGGTTTCAAATTTCAAATAAGCCTACAGAAAGTTACCATATTAGGTTTATTTAAATTTGTTTCATAGTAGATTTCTTAAAATTTCAGTGCTTGGTGTATTCTTGGAAGTGTGTAGGAATTCATAAGTTTTATGTTTTTGTTTTGATAAAATCTAAAAAAAAAAAATACTCATTTTGTATCACTGGATGACCAGCTTATGTTCAAGCCTTGCTGAGCTGTTTCAAAAGTGCCTGCTTTTCTACATTTGCTATCTTTGTTCCCTAATGATCACCTTAATTTAATCTGTAATACATTTATTTATTTTTTTAAATATTTATTTTTTTAAATTGTAGTTGGAAACAATACCTTTATTTTGTTTATTTATCTTTATGTGGTGCTGAGGTTTGAACCCATGACCTTGCACATGCTAGGTGAGTGCTCTACTGCTGAGCCACAACCCCAGCCCCAATACATTTAATTTTTAATGCAAGTTTTCTTAAACCAGCATGTGAGTGAGTTCTCAGGGTCTTCTTCATTCTCAAGTTTGAAAAATGCCAATATGATTTTATTTTAAGTCATTTTTTTTTAAAAAAGAAAAAATTAAAGAAGAAAAATTTAAAAAGTCCTATTTTTAAAATGTTAAGTTTTAGCTAAAGAGGTAATACCAATTAGGAAAGGATAGAAATGGAAGATTTAGACACCTAGAGTAACGTGTATGTTTGTAGAAGCTAAGCAATTAAATCCATAAAGCAGGAGTTGTCTCTGTTCTGAAAATTCTTAATAGCTAACTGGATCAGCTTCTCTGATTTGAAGGATAAGAGGTCAAGGAAGTTGATTTACTTTGGATCAAATGTATCAGATGAATTCTTAGTTATTTTCCTGTGTGGTATTTGTGTATTACTTTTAAGTTTTTATTTCTTGAACAATACACATTCTGCTCCTACTTGGTGCTAGGTATTGAAGTTACATCATTAGTAAGGGTAATATTAAAGGTATTTTTAGAGCAGGTAGTGTTTCCTGGGCTTTTCAGGAGCAGGGGTAGGTGTAGAGACACTACTTGGGATGCCATGTGTAGTTGGTGGTGAGAATTGGATGAAGAGCACATTCAATAAACATTAAATGCCTACTACTTGCTAAATAAGTGGTGGGGGTGGAACAGGTAGGGAGATTAGCAAGTGACACTGAGAGTGAGTTAACCAGGCCAGATCTTTTGCACTATTATATAGACTTTGGTTTTTGAGAGAAAGGGAGAGCCCCTGGAGGGTTTTTTAAGTAGAAGAGTGACCTCATCCAATTTAAATTTTACAGGCTATCTTGTTGAGTGTGGACAGCATGGGTTAGGGTGGAAGGAGCCAGATCAGTTAGGAAGCTATTGTAATAATCCAGGTGAGGCTTGGAGTAGACAGTAGCAGTGGACAGGTGAAAAGTCTTCAAATTTTAAAGGTATAGTAACAGATTGGATGTGAGGTGTTAAGAAAATGACAACTCCAGGGTTTTTGGATTGAATAAATAGAATGATGGAGTTCCATTATTTGAGATGGAGACTGTGGGTACAGCAAGGTGGTTTTTTTTTTTTTTTTTTAATTTTTTGGAGTGGGGTTTAGATATTCATTTCTTTATTTTTTTTTTGAGATAATTAGCGGTTGTAAGAAATAATTATAGAGATTTTCCATACCCTTTACTCGGTTTTCTGAAGTTGTAGCATCTTGCAAAACTGTAGTATAATATCACGTGCAGGATATTGACATTGATATAGTCAAGATTTCCATTGGCATTTCCAATCAAGGGTATTTCCATTGCCACTTGTTGCCCCTCTGAGGTCACCCCTCTTCCTTTCTGCTCCACCCTCTCCAGAACTTCTGGCAACCATAAATTTGTTTTCCATTTCCATAATGGTATCATTTTGGGAGTCTTATATAAATGTAATCATGTAGTATATAACCATTGGATTGGCTTTTTTCACTTACACAATTCTCTGGAGATTCATCTAGGTTGTAGTATGTGTCAATAGTTTGTTCCTTTTTATTGCTGATTAGTATTCCATAGTATGAATATATTATACTTTAATGATCCATCTGTTGAAGGATGTCTGGTTGTTTCCAGTTTCTGGCTATTATGAATAAAGCTGCTGTAAACATTTGTGTACTGATTTCTGTCTGAACATAAGTTTTCATTTTTCTGGAATAAATGCCTTCGCGTATAATTTTGATTCATATGATAGTTATATATTTAGTTTTTTTTTTTTTTTAAGAAACTGCCAGATTGTTTCCCAGAGCCTCTGTTCTATTTTATATTCACACCAGCAACATATGAGTGATCTGGTTTCTCTGCATCCTCACCACTTTTGGTGGTGTTCTTATGTTTCATTTTAGCCATTCTGATAGAGGTGTAATGATATCTCATTGTAGTTTTGATTTGCATTTTCCTAATGGCTTATTATATTTTTATATGCTTATTTGCCATCTGTGTATTCTCTTTTGTGAAATGTCTCTTAATGTCTTTTGGCTATTTTGGGACTGGATTGTTTTTTCTAACCCTAAATTTCAAAGATTGTCTCGTATTTTTTCTAAAGGATTCATAGTTTTATGTTTCAAT